CGACTCACATCTGTATGTAGCCACAGAAAAGATGCATACTCTCAAAATTCTAATTTGTATCTCCTTGCTGGTGCTTAACCATAGACTTTTAAGGCTGTTCAATCTTTGCATTGCTATGGCCATCCTCCTTTTAATTTCTGTCGAACAGTCTCCATTGTTGTTTATTATAGAGCCTAGATATTCAAAGTTTGTGACATTTTCAATTTTTTCATCATTTATTGTTATTTTTGGGTGACAGCCAGTTTTATCTGTGGACATTATTTTCGTTTTCTTCAAATTCAAAGACAGATTTTGATCTTCACTGTGCTTTTGGACAGACAAACCCTATCTACACCACACTAAAATAGTGGTAAAACAGACAGTAGCGCCTTTTAATTTATTATTATTATTTTTTTTTAATGATAAAAGGTAAAGGTCTCTTTACACTCCGGTGGCACATGAGGCAGATGAGGCTAGACTCATATTTTGTAAAGACTTCGATGAGTGATGTGGTCAAGCATCCATACGATACTGAAGAATTATCAGCTGCGTTGGGCTGGTCACCTAATCCGCATGCCAGACTATCGCCTCCCAAAGAGAGTATTTTATGGCGGGCTACAGCAAGGAAAGAGGTCACAGGGAAGACAGAGAAAGCGCTATAAGGACACTCTGAAGACTACTCTCTATTCTTTTGGCATCAACACAGCTACGCGTGGAGCTGTTGCACAAGATCGTTCTGGGTGGCATATGTCAATCAGACATCGTGCATCGGCCTGCCAGGTGGCAGAGTTTGCACAGGTAGAGAAACGGAGGCAGACTAGCAAGAATCGTACTGCTTGATAATCCCACACTTGCTGCGGCTTCCACCTGTTGTCCGCACTGCTCAAGAACTTCCCTGGCTCATATTAGACTAATCAGCCACCTTCTTACTCATAATCACTGATTATTACTACTTTGGATGAAAGTTGTCTTCATCACTCGTGATGGACGACCAACACACGGTCCAGATTACACAGGCTTTTATTATAACAAAAGTAGATAATGGATATACATGTGTGGAGTCTAAAAATGTTTAGAAATTGACCGTAAAACCAGGACTGCCCAATTGGCGATTAACACACGGTGATGCAAACTGCCACCATTCTGATACTAACCCCCCCCCCCCCCCCAGGCGCAAGTCCCAGAAACCCCATTCAATCATTACCTTGTATTATTGTCCCCGACGAAAGTTGGATAGGACAATAACAAAAACTTTCATCTCAGAGTAATTTTGCACTTCGACACGGGTGCAGTTTGTAGCTCTAATAATGTCTAAACCGTATTTCAATTTTCTGCCACGTCTTCAGAAGTTACATGTATCCAAATTTATAGTTGTAGTTGCTACAGCGAACCTGTGTTGGATGGTTTTGGATGTACCTTCTTAGCGCCTGACGATCACACAAGGTCACAGGAAGCATTACATTTTACTGAACATTTTATAGACGTGTGTATCCATAAAATACTTTTTCAGATGAGGGGTCTTTAAATGAAACACTCAAAAAGAGGTGATGTGATAGAAATTATAACAACGATGCCACTGTCTTGTAACCTGTCAACGTTGTTGCCGTGGATTGTTAAGGATGTCAAGTGTCTTAAGCACGTGACATCACGTGCAGACGAACACGTGGCTTCATGATGTCAGTTTTAAAATGGCCGACGCACTTTCTGACATGCACCAAAGACGAGCATCCATTGTTTGATCAGTGACTCGGGGAAAACTATAGAATATTACTGGCGAATAAGGGTCCAGTATGATCACGCATGCCTAAAATGGGTACCAGGATGGGCTGTCCTGGGAAAGTAAAGACAGCCGGCGTAATGCTGACCACATTACCCACCGAGTGCTGATGGTCTGTAAAAATATGGGACGCTCTGTCCATTTGCCCGATGCGCCGAAAGGCGAAAACAGGGGATCTTTACTTTTTTTTTTTTACTTTTTATGATCACGCATGACTGTCAGTCCGGCAAGTGTGGAAGTGTAGGAAAGACCGGCCTGTGTGGTGGCTGAGTGGTCTCGATGTATGGCGTCCGCCTCGAGTCATAGGGGTCCCGGCTTCAAACCCCGTTGAAGGCTGGGATTTTTTTCACGTGGACTTGTAGTAATTTCCCATGGTCTCTGGGTAGTAACATCAGACGCCTGTGTGTATTCTTGCGCACGTAAACAAATCTCTTGGCTGTTGGAAATAAAAAAGAATAGCCTAACGGCGCTGCCCGGACACAATTTAGAGTTCAATATCTACCCAAAGCATTTCAGGATCCTCGCCGGTGCAACGGAGTTCGTGCACTGCGCTGAGGTTCTTCAGACTCAGGCTTGCATTTTTTTTACGTTATCTATCAAGGCCGAATAATTGCGATATCCATATTACCCAGCCGAAGGGTTCACGGCTCATGGTTTCTATAAAAACAAAAAAGTAGAACGGAGCGCCTGTGTGTCCCACTCGTCCATTATTGCGGTTGTTTTTTATTTCTTAATATACTTTCAACACTTACTTACTTTTTACTTAGTCGCTCCTCTTCTACCTTGGGGTGTAGAGGTTTGCCAGAGAGTTCGCCAGACGTCTCTATCAGCAGGTTTCTTTCTGGCTTTGTTCCATTCCAGTCCTCTGTCAGTTAGGGACTGTCGGATGTTGTCTTCCCAGCGCACCCTGGGTCGTCCCGGAGGTCTGGTTCCCTGGTTCTTAGCCTCCCATGCTTGCCATGGTGGCCGATTTTCTCCCATTCTGCATACATGTCCAAACCATCGTAACTGTGACTGATCTACTCGAGTTAGTAAGGGCTGGGTATCAAGATCTTGACGTATTGTCTGATTGCGGACTTTGTCCCTTCTTGTCACTTGGACCACCTTTCTCAGGTTACTTTCAACACACTTTTTTTAAATATTAAATTTTTATTATTCACATTTTTTTGGGGTACCTTATTGCTTGCTTTCTCTCGTAGCTGCCCGTAAACAACCGACCCCACTGCTTCGAGACACCAGCTAAGTGATTTTGTGTTTCTGTGTAGTATTGTTTCATTTGTATGTGCTGATGAAGGCTCAATAGCTGCAACGTTCACGTTTTGTTTGTTTTTATTATATTGTGAAGCTTGCTTGTATACTTCTCGTTCGGTTTTATATCTTTTCTGTGCACAGGTAAGAATTACTGCATTGGGAGGGGCCGCAGGCGCGACGATTCTTAGGCTATCGAAACTGGGATGTTTTTGTCTTTCTGCGTTCTCTTGTTCTCCACCCCCCCCCCTTTTTCCCCCGGAAAAAAAAGAAAACAGTTACAAGGAGCTTATGGATAGAAGAATATCGCTGCTTCTATACTCTTGAACTGTCGCGCAGGTAGCAGAAAGTGAAAATAATCACACAAGCGAGTGGTAAGAAGACGAGAAAAGGAGCAACGTTTAACCGTTCACAATAACGAAAACATGACTCCCACGCAACGTAGGAGAGGTCTAACGACTTATGGAGGCATGAATGGCAAGGACAGTTGCTTTAATCCTGGGTCTGGAAACGTGAACAGCACCGAAACTTGTTCCAGCATCGGTCAACTGTACCTAGATTGGTCGCAGGAGCTGGGAGCATTAAGTTTAGATTAAGTTAAACATGTCCCTGTGTGTTACAAAAACTCATTAATAAACTAAAACTTGTAAATGGTAACACTTAACTTTATTATAAGCCATATTACAAGTTTTTTTTCTTCTGAAAACACTCTTACGACGAATTTTTGGACTCATCAAAAATACAGACAGTGGGGAATGAAGAAGGAGAAGCAACAGTGAAAATCATAATGTGTTTAAATCACGACTGATCATTTGCATGATGAGGGCTAACAGGGTAAAACTACTGCGGTATACTGAGAGAATTACAGATGGCAGAGTGGCAAAAACTGTGTACACAAGGGAGCTGAATGGCCGAAGACCATGAAGCAAACGGTGGAAAGATAATTTTCAAACAGACATAGACACACTTGGAGCCAACAACTGGACAGAGCAGAAAGACTTGGAGCCAACAACTGGACAGAGCAGAAAGACTTGGAACCAACAACTGGACAGAGCAGAAAGACTTGGAACCAACAACTGGACAGAGCAGAAAGACTTGGAGCCAACAACTGGACAGAGCAGAAAGACTTGGAGCCAACAACTGGACAGAGCAGAAAGATTTGGAGCCAACAACTGGACAGAGCAGAAAGACTTGGAACCAACAACTGGACAGAGCAGAAAGATCACAGAGAAGAATGGAGGTGTGTGATATTTGTAGCAGTGAACCTCAATGGCTTGACATGCTTAAGAGGAATAGTTGACTTTTCATACGTGTCGTATGAGGCGACTAATGAATTATGGCAACAGAATTGCCACCCTCACGTAAGAAGCCTAAGTTGCATATTCTAACCAGCCATGAACCAATCAACAAGGGGTTTGAGGTGATATCTGCTTGATGACATATGCTTCAATAGGAGGTTAAAATTAAAGAAAGAAGCAATTAAAAAGAAGAGGAATAGGGAAGAGGAGAAAGATGAGATTTAGGAGGTATTTGGGGAGGCGGTGTTGGTGAAGGAAAAGATGCAGAAGCAGCAATAGCTGAGAAGAAAGAATATGTTTGTAGTACTGTACCTCTCTTTCGCACAAATTACTCACATGTCTTTTACATTAAAAAAAAAAAGTTAACAAAATTAACAAAAGCCAAGTGCAGTTTCTAGTTAACATTGGTGAAGACAGTCAACGAAAACAACATAGAATATTATCTGGGATATTTTCTTTTTTATTGTCTTTAAAATTCATCTGTGATTGTTAACTTGCTGTTTCCAAATTGTTTCGAGAATGATTCGATTTTCAGATGTAACAAAAACATGATAAAGCAATTTACAATCTTCTCGCCTGAAGAATCTTAATGTTTGAGCAACAAGGATACAATAAACCAAAAACAAAGCTAGACTTCTTTGAACCCCGTGTTTAACTGTCAGTGTTGATTTATTATGATGTTGTTAATTATTGCTTGCTCATCGTGTTGAACGTTTGCCAAGTCTCAGCATACCTAGAGATCTCTTCTCGTCGTCTTCTCGTTTTCCCAAACGCAGCATGCTCATTGGTCGTTTTCCAAGACGAAGCATGCTCATTGGTCGCTTGCCTAGACGCAACATACTCATTGGACGCTTTCCTAGACGGAGCATGCTCATTGGTCGTTTCCCCAAACGCAGCATGCTCATTGGTCGTTTTCCTAAACGCAACATGTTCATTGATCTTTTATCGTCTTCACTGTCTGCATCGTCGAAATTTTCATCTTCTCGTTTGCCAAGTCTAAGCATGCCCAATGATCGTTTCCCAAGTCTAAGCATAGATAATTGTCGTTTGCCAAGTCTGAGCATACCCAGTGATCTCTTCTCTTCGTCATCTTCCGGTTCCCGTTTGCCCAACCTCAGCATTCCTAGAGATCGCTTTCCTAACCTCAGCATAGACAACTGCCTCTTTCCAAGCCTAAGCATTCCCAAAGACCTCTTGTCTAGCTCATCTCCTCCTTCTGCCGGCTGGATAATTCCATCAGCCAAATCGTCGTACAAGTAAACGTTATCATCGGGAAAAGCCTCGAACTGATCCCCGTCAGCACTAATTTTCAACTCAGCAGGAACAGAATCCTTTGGCGATGACTCCAATTGCTGGGACACATCTGAAGGCACCTCAATTTTGCCACTGGGTGTTGACCGTCTAAATCTTCCATGTGCTGGTATTTCTATATCCTCTTCGGGATAGGAATTATCATAAGATTCAAACGAATAAGGCTCATTATACGCTGGACGCCAAGCCAGAAAGTCTTCTAAGTCTTCTTCCTCTTGTGCGGCCGATTCGTCGTTACGTTTTCCAAGCCTCAGCATATTTAGACCTCGGCCCAGCCTCAGCATGTTATAGCTTCCTCTCTTGGCACGAGATAAAGCTGTTTCTGTGGAGGCTTTGCTGTCGGTGCTGGCTGCATTGTCCTCAGTGAAAACTGTAGAGGAAACAATAAGAAGAATATGTCAGCTAGATAAATAATATTTTAGCTTGAATAAATAATATATTAACTAGAACAAATCACGGCCAGCTCCCGATTTTTACTGGAGCTGGCCGTGAATAAATAATATGTCTGCCAAAATAAATATTATTTTCGCTAAAATAAATAATATATATGCTAGCATAATTAATATGTCACCTAGAAGAAAAAAATATGTCACCTAGAACAAATATTATATAAGCTGGAATAAATAATGTCAGCTAAAAAAATGTGTTAGCTAGAAAACATACTGTGTAAGCTAGAAATAATAATGTGTTAGCTAGAATAAATAATGGGTTAGGTAAAATAAATAATGTGTTAGCTAGAATAAATAATGTGTTAGTTAGAATACATATTATGTTAGCTAGAAAAACTAATGTGTTAAAATAAATCATTTGTTAGATAGAAAAAATTATGTGTTAGCCAGAATAAATAATGTGGCAGCTAGAATAAATAATATGTTAGCTAGAATAAACAATATATGAGCTAGAAAAAAAAATTGGTTACATAGAATAAATAATGTGTTCGTTAGAATAAATCACTTGTTAGCTAGAATAAATAATGCGTTAAAATAAATGGCGTGTTAGCCAGAATAAAGTGCTAGTTAGAATAAATCATGTTTCAGCTAGAAAAAAAAAAAAAAACAATGAGTGAGTTAGAAGAAATAATGTGATAGAATAAATAAAATGTCAGCTAGAAAAAATAATGTGTTAATTTGTAAAAAAGGATATAGGCTGTTATTGCTGTGGAGTTTAGTTCATGCCGAGAAAGACCCTGGCAGAAAAAAAGATTGGTGTTGTTTTCCGAGCGTTTTTCTGCTTCCCTATTTGGTTAAGCTTTTTTGGTCTCATTTCACTGGATTACTTTCTTGGATTTGGGAGTCGCCGTGGCCGAGCGGCTAGACGCTCGCCGCGGATCGGAAGGTCGTGAGTTCGCTCCCAGGAGTAGTCGGACTTTTTTCAAAAGTGACCTTGGCTCCCAGGTCGACCCAGCCTTGAGTGGTTACCGGGTGCAGTCCTGGGAAGTAAAGGCGACCGGCGTGATGCTGACCACATCACCCATCATGTGCCGATCCGTCTATGAAAATATAGGTCTAGCCCTATATGCCCTATACGCCTAATGGCGTGGAAAGGGTCTTTTACTTTTTTTTTACGTTACTTACTTTCTTGGATTTAGCGTTAGCTGCAGTCACCCCTATTGTTTGGCTGCAGTCACCCCTATTGTTTGGCTGCAGTCCCCCCATTGTTTGGCTGCACTCACCCCTATTGTTTGGCTGCAGTCCCCCCTATTGTTTTGCTGCACTCACCCCTATTGTTTGGCTGCAGTCTCCCCTATTGTTTGGCTGCACTCACCCCTATTGTTTGGCTGCAGTCTCCCCTATTGTTTTGCTGCACTCACCCCTATTGTTTGGCTGCAGTCCCCCCTATTGTTTGGCTGCACTCACCCCTATTGTTTGGCTGCAGTCTCCCCTATTGTTTGGCTGCAGCCACCCCTATTGTTTGGCTGCAGTCCCCCCTATTGTTTGGCTGCAGCCACCCCTATTGTTGCCACTAGAAAGTTTAGAAACTGGACGAGTCAGAGCAAACGTTTTTGGCGGTAACGCAAAATCAAGGACCTGCTATCAAACCAGAGACGCATCAGGCTAGACTTATATTTGTATAGACCATTCGGTACTCGGCGGGTGACGCTGACCGCCTTTGCTTCCCATGACATTACCTGGTAGCTGGGACGGATTTAGACTTAATGAGGCCCTAAGCTGTATAAAGCTCTCTTGACGCTACTGTTTTAAAATTCACTAGCTGATCTGAGAACACTTACAAAAATATACGTCTTTTAAAAACACGGATTATATAAATATGTTTTCCCTATTAATTTGTATAAAAGGAAATAATAATGAACCTGTCTGCAAAATCACATAGTTTATATTATATAACCCACTTAACGACTCTATTAAAAGAAAACGTCCGTTTTTAACGTTAAAATTGTGACACCCTAATCCCTGGCTTAATTTTAGCCTGGGTCAATCTGGGAGCCAAAATCAGTTTAAAAAAAAAAAAAAACATTCACTGGAGGCAGATTTGAATACGATATCTTTGATCTGGCATGCAAGCATTCTTTGTTCTCAATTTTAAATCAAAACAGCATAAAAAGATTTGCAATAAAAAAATTATGTCTCACCGACCCGAAAATAAAATCTTGTTTAATTGAAAAGTATAAATCTAACCAACCCTAAAAGAAACTGCATCTAAAGAAAGTTACAAACATAACCATGCAAAGAAAACTATTATAACCTTATCTGTTTACGAGTGTTTTAAAAACAACATATCAGAAAGTGTTTAAACCAAATGAATCGGAGAAAACATTTTTGGCGGTAAGTATGGAAAACATTCTGAAGGAGAAACTTTCATTATTTGTCCACCTCTGCAGCCAATTTCCCGCGCTCCAGTTGCCAGGTTTCCCTGTCATTAGGACGTGTCTAATATTGTCTTGACCGAGCTCGATTTGTTTAATTTGGTCTGACGTGCGACAAGAATCCTGGGCTGTACATTATAGATCGTATTCAGTTAGACGGAATGGCGTGTCCGTTTCTATCAGGGTTGATGTTTTCTATTGAGTAAGCTATATTTTCTTGTCGAGAATACAAAAAGGCGATACAAGTGCTACGAATTTACACTTAAATATATTCTGCTGTGGATTTTGGGACCTTTTTCAAGCGGAATAGATACCCCCTCCCCCACAAGCATGTGGTGAGTCATGGCGTCTCCACGAGTGCTGGAGGTCCCGGGTGCAAGCTCCGGTGAAGGCTGTTTAACGTGGATTTCTAGTAATTTTGTCCTAGTCTCTGGGTAGTGTCGGCTCTGTGGCTAAGTCGATGCGAACGCTTCGTAATGCCAGGATGCCGGGTTCGATCCTAGCTGCGGGCTATGCGCCTTGCGTTGGTTTCGACCGTGGTATCAAGGAAGCCGACTGTTCAGGAGCAATGATAAACTGCTGGACGTAAGTTGGCCTAGAAAAACCACACAACAGCCAGGGGCTGTTGGGGTTGGTTCGCAACGTCCTGTAAAGGATACGCAACTAACCTCTTGGTAGATCGCACGCCTATGTGTAGTTTTGCGCACCGTAAAATTCCCCTGGGAGTTGAAAATCGCAAACAAGTAGCCTAAGAGCGCTGCCCGGGCAAAATTTTGAGTTAAAAAGCTAGCCTAAATGTAATTTCGGATCCTCGCCGGTGCTACGGAGTCCGTGCGCTACGCCGAGATTCTTCTGACTCAGTCTTGAGTCAAAAGTAGAAAGGAGCACTTATGTATTGCTATCCTTGTGCCGTGATGTTGATCCGACGTCTAAACCCAAATATTAAGTGTTTAGGGATGTTTGCTTTTAAGTCGAAGTGCATCTGAGAGGCGAGGAACCAACAGTCTGGATGCAGATAAGGCAGATCCGTAAAACGGATGTGGACGCATAACTCAAGTTCTGGATAAAGAATAAAGTCCAGAAGTGGACGAATTATTAGAACTTTTCTCCGGAGTTTACATCAGGCAGGGGCGCCACCACAAACATAAAACTTGCGTGTGTGTGTGTGTGTGTGTGGGGGGGGGGGTGCTCAGAAACATTTTGTAAGTGGGCTAAGATATCCCCTTTAAACACGTATAGAAATTCTCTTTCAAAGTATTTGTTTGTATAATAATATTATCTAAAGTATATTATCACATTTATTTTTAATTCAACACATTCTTATCATATTGTTTTTTTTTTTTTTAAATATTATTATTCATGTGTAGAATGGCAAATAAATAAGATAATGTACTTGAAATGATAAACAAATACATTTAAAGAACATTTTCATGCGCGGTAGGATGGTCTTGTGTGAGGACCCTATAAATATTTGCTTGTTGCTAGGGAGGTGGGGAAAAAGGGGGGTGGGGGGTGGGGGGGGGGGCTCAAGGAACACGACTATGACACCTGGTGAACTCAAGAAAATACATTTGTGCAAATTTGGGAGCTATGGTAGCGCAGTGGCTGCACACTTAGCTGCTGACTCAAAGGTTTTGGGTTCGAATCCAAATCACCCCGAAATAAAAATAAAAAATATCTCTTTTAAAAAAAAAATAGGTTTAGGTTTAGTTTTAAACAACGGATGAACATCATGGCACAAGGGTAGTAAACCGAAAGTGCTTCGTTCTACTTTTAACTCAAGCCTCAGTCCAAAAATCTCAGCGCAGTGCACGAACTCTGTAGCAACGGCCGAGCCACTAAAATACTTTGGGTAGATTTTAACACCACGCTTTTTTTCCCTTTCCAGTGCCGTTAGGCTACTCTTTTTGATTTCCAACTGGCAAGGGATTATTTTACGTGCGTAACAATGCACAAAATAGGTATTTGGTAGGGTAACCAGACGTCCCGTTTTTACCGGCACAGACCCGGGTCTCCACCCCCCCCCCCTTCCACCCCCTGAGTGTACTGGCCGTCCCGTCGATACTGAACATTTTTATTGGTTGTCCATTAAGAAAAAATCCATAAATGTCGTTTATAGTATATACTAGCTGTACACGGCCACGCGTTGCTGTGGCATAGTTTGGCTAAATGGAAATGAAAGAAAATAGAAATTGCACGTGTCTAATACAATCATTGTCTGCTCAGATATAGAGATAGTCTTTGATCCCCCCCCCCCCCCCCCCCTCACCACCACAACTAAATCTACCCACTACTCTCTCCCTCATCAAAGGTTTTTGGAAAAGAAAGACAATGGAAATCGCACGTGTCTAATATAGTTAATGTCGCAATCATTCTCTGCCCAGATATAGGGATAGTCTGGTTTTCCAACTTTAGAACACGCACCTTATAATTGTGTCTTTATATTAGTGGTCATTTAAATGGTGTTATTAGCACAGTAACAAAAATGGTTATTTGGTTATCACATGCTAAAGCTGTTTGTATTTTTTTAGGAGA